GGGGGGGGGGGGGGGGGTAAAGTAAAACTCATTTTGCCTGGAAAGTTGGATGCCCCTGAAGCAGAGATGGAAGTTGTTTCAGATGAAAGTCGTGCGCCCACAAGCAGGAGGGGAGGTGGGAAAGAAATCGCTTCAGGTGAAAGTTGTGTGCCTCCAAGCAGGGGGGAAGGTCGCTTTGGATGAAAGTCATGCGTCTCCAAGCAAGGAAAGAGGTGAGATGAGAGTCATTTCGGGTGAAAGTCGTGCGATCCCAAGCAGATGAGAGGTGGGAAGTTGCTTCAGATGAAAGTTATGTATCCCCAAGCAGAAGGTAAGGGGAGTTTGCTTTACATGGATCTGTTTGGAGGTCAAGACCAATATCAAAGTCTCTCGGAAGTGATTTAGAGTGATCTATGTAGAGGTAATGCATTCTTAGGTAATATATAAAATTACGTAAATATTTTTTGCATTAAACCTTCTTGTCGGTGAAAATCCATTTAAAGGCATTTGATATTATTTAGAGTGTTTTTGCTAAATTTTATAAAAATCGGAGGTTTGATGTTTTCGGAAGTTTACCTGTAGTTTTTAGTCTCTTCGTCTGACTCACATATAAAGCGTCACAAACATTGCACAAAATTTTATAAATAACATTGTTACAAACATTCAAATCTTTTTGCCTTTTTATAAAGTTGTTGACTTTAATAACATTACTAGTATTATTGTCCTCATTGTGCTTCTCCTCATTATTGTTTTCCTTTTTCTATTTTTTCTTTTCAGTAACTTGTTCTTTTACCTCCATCACCTCCTCTTTTTCGATTTTGCGTTTTGCTAGAAAATAATTTTTACCGTTATTTTTTCTAACCTAACTCTATATTTCCGCTATCTTATTTTTTTTAATTTACACGACATAGAAATGACGTCATCGGCAAGTCTTGTGTTCGCTAAGAATCTCCAGGGCTCGCTGCACGGATGCCTGCGTTATCTAAAACAAAATTGTTTTCTTCTTTTTCGTCTTTTTACAATAAAACATATTATATACATTTTACAGTGAGTTATTTTTTTTAAAGCCGTCTTACCTGTTACGATAAGGGAATATCTCGTACGTTTCGTAGAGATGGAGTATTATTCACTTCAGATTCAATTCGCTCTCTTCCTAGAAAAAATTATTTTATAAAAAAGTATTTTATAAAGGAAATTTTTAACATTTAATTAATATTTTTATTTTTCCAACTTACGTGCAGCGACACCCCCATCCTCTTCTTCCACGTGACGTCGTTGTCGCCTTAGTCTCAGTAAAGCTCTAGATATATCAAAATAACGCACAAGAGGAGCTGTGCACTTGCACACAGTTCACTTGCAAACACCACTCACATTGCTCTATTCCTAGTAATTTTTTCACTGTTTCACTAATGAAATTATATTATTTTAAGTTAGTCAATTGATATACACCCGTGCACACATTCTCCATTTTTTACTTACTATAACCGTACCAATAATATTAAGCGCTTATTGGATTACAGACTAACTAGGTCGAAATAGCAAATAGGAAATTATCGGGGTTTCGGCTCGAGTAAAAGAAATGCGCTACTTTGATACCTATATCTAGCGTTTTAAGTCTCAGAGGCTCGTATTGCATTGAATTAACGTGCGCTATTTAATTTCTCTCTTTAGAAAAAGAAATATTACAATTTAGTAATAAATAAATCTTTATATTTTATTGTGTAATTTAATTTTAACAGAACTTTTTTTCCTCTTACTTCTTCATTAATGATACACCAATGAAGATCTGCCAGCGTCATTCTGCAATGATTAAACTCAGGGTTGGGAAGTAACGCGGTACTTGTAACGCCGTTATTGTTTTTGTTACTTTTTTCAGAAACAATTGTTACTGTTTTCTGTCCGTAACGGTAACAGTAACGTTACACTTTTACAGTAACGGTAATGAATTTAGCCGTTACTTTAATTTCCTACTATTTTATAATTTATTTTTAATTTCTTAAAATATTTTAAACTTAATTTCTTATACTGTGTTCTCTAATAGGCACTGCCAATACTGAAAATATATAATTTACATTACATATACTGTAAATTTTTATTACGGGCAATAAATACACATAGGCATGTCCGCCTAAAACACGGCAGTGTCCGTTGTTAATCATGGGGATGGAATGTTGGAGGGTAGTGTTAATGTTAAGTTGTCGTTGTATCCTAACAGGATACAACAATCCAAATGTTGAGACAGTTAGAGAAATACAGATTAATCCTCAGCCCTTTCTTTCACTGATTCCTTCTCCTTCATTTACCTCACAAAGAAATGGCTGGTGAATCTATCAACTGTTTCCATATCTCCTAATATACAGAACTTTTTACAATTGGGAGATAACTTTACCTCACCTTTGAACAATAGATTGGATTTAGATTGGTCGATTTTATTAAGTATATTGAAAATAATATTTACAAATTATCTATTAATGAGCGGACCTCAATCTCGAACCACTTATTTTCTGTACTAACTAGCTTAGCTTCTTGTTCCCTACATTGTACGGAAGTGGATAGAAGTTTGTCACAACTAGCAAAAGACACTAGGGTTTTTGTAAGGAATATGAATGATAGGATTATTTTTACTCGTGCGGATAAGGGGAATGTGACAGTAGCATTGGATAGATAGGTGTATATTTCCAGGATAAATGAGATGCTTCAGGATGTAAATATAAATACTTATGAGGTAGTTGAAAGGGATCCGACGAGAAGGATGATAACGAGTTTACACGTTTTATTAGTTAGTTTGAAAGAAAAAAACATAGCTAATTCCACATATAGAAGTTTGTTAAGTAATGTTGGGATACTTCCGAGAGCCTACACTCTTCCGAAGATACATAAGCAGGACTGCCCCTTTCGTATAATAGTTTCTTCGATGAATAGCCCTTTGTATTCATTAGCAGTATTTCTTCATAATATTATCATAAAAACAATTCCTAAAGCGAATAGTCATATCGAAAATAGTTTTAAACTTGTTAAGGAACTTGATGGTAGATATTTGAGTGATGAATTCAGTTGATGTCACTGGATATTGTGAGCCTCTTTACTAACGTCCCCATTGACTATGCGATGGATTGTATTAAAGACCATTGGATTTATTTCTAGAAATTGTTGTTTACCGGAGAAGGAATTCATCAAAGCGGTTCAGTTTGTTTTAGATTCTACTTTCTGTGTTTTTGATAGTGTTATGTATAGGCAGAATAACGGGACTCCTATGGACTCTCCGTCTGTCATTGCGGATCTAGTTGCAAAAGCTGGAGGTTAGAGCTTTGTCTTTGATTCGATTTCCTTTTACTATAGGTTTGTTGACGACATATTATTGATGGCACCTGCGTCTTCGGTTAGTTCCATTCTTGATATTTTTCTCAGAACATATAACAGATTGAAGGACTCTTCCTATACAAAATAAATAACAATAAATAAAGGGTAAAGTAAGAGTCAAACACATTCCTTTAAAAAAGTCATACAATTAAAAGAATAAATTACAAATAAAGAAAAGTAAAATTGAAAAAATATATAATAAAATAAAAACTCAGTTTAAATACAAATAAATTACAAGTTTTGGCTACCGGATTGAGCCCTCTTTAGACATTAACTTATCGAAAAAAAAAACGCAGTACAAAATTAATTATCGGAAATGTTCGCATATTCACTATAATCACAGTTCGGGTAAATCTTGATGAAGAACTCGACATTATTCACATACG